TGGACACATTTTTTACATGTTTTGTCATAAATAAAATTCCATTACTGAAGTATGTATTGCTGTAGAATTGTTTTTATTTTAGTAATTTTAATCACCAAAGTTTCTACATTAAATTTCTGACCCATTTTGGGTTACATTCAACCCAGCAGTGTAGTCATTTTTAACTAATAGTTGGGTTAAAAATCACAACCCAGCATGCTGGGTTAAACGTGTAACCCAACTTGTTGGGTCAAAATAACCCAGCGTTGGGTTAGTCCCTTTTTTAACCAGCGCTGGGTTACCAAAATAACCCAAATTGGGTTGTTTTTAACCCAGCAGTTTTTAGAGTGTACCGCAGCTTTCACAGACTTCTCGCCAGCTCCTCTAGGTGGCAGTAGAGACCTGTGTTAAGAGGCACACGGTATGGTACTATACCTGCACAGACGTTGAGTTTCAGGTTCTCTGCAATCTGCCCGATGGCAGAGAAGTCGGTGGCGTAGAAGAAGTGCTTGTCGAGGGGTTCCGAGGCAATCTCACGTAGCTCGTCCTCGACTGCCTTCCCAACGCCCACAGCGTACATCATGATGCCTGATGCCCACAAAACGATAACCCTCACTTTCTTCACTACACACTGATAATATACTATAAAACCTGCACCGTACTGTAATTACTAAACCATCTACCTAATTAAAAAATACTACATACAAGAAAAAATTATTAATGTTCAAAAGATCATTGGCTGTGACCTGTCCAGAAAATCTAAAATTTTTTAATCTATCTCAGTAGTCATACATCAGGTAATTAATTACTTATCAAGGCCCCAATTACTTGAATTAAAAGCCTTTTGTAAAAAGAATTGCCCAACAATGTTTAATGTGTGTTACACAGCTTCAGTTCAGCTTTGATCTAAGAGTAAATGACAGAACTTAGCCGGCTTACCTGCATCCTTTGCATTTTTTGCCCATTCTGTGATGTCGTCTTGGGAGCGGCCGTCCGTGAAGACCAGGCCCACTTTGGGGATGTGCTTGTTGGCCACACGGGCACCCTCAGCCTCTGAAAAGCTGTTCTCCACCATGTGTTTCAGTGCCAGGCCTGTCATGGTGCCTTTCTCCATGTACTCCACCTTCCTCACCGCATCCTTGATGTCCTGGGCTTTGGCAAAGCTGTTCAGGGTGAACTCAGTGCGGACGCGGCTGGAATACTGGACCAGGCCAATCCGAGTGCCATGGGACGAAACATCCAGGGAGTCCACAACTTGGTTCACGAACTGCTTCACGAGCTCGAAGTTCTGAGGCCGCACGCTCTTGGAGCCGTCAATGAGCATTACCAGGTCGATATTTGCAGATCTGCAAGCTGTAGAGGATAAATAGTAAAATGTCTGACTGTCACAGACTGTAAACTTACAAATTTCCATCCATCTTCCAACCACTCATCAAGTATAGAGCCAAATCCAGGCAACACAGAACATAAGGCAGGAATACGCTCTCTAAATGGGATGTCAGCTCATTGCAAGTCACATAGGCAGCTTCATCTTGGCCAGGATGTCCCACACCTTGTGTCCTGTGCATCTTCTCTACACTCACTGCAACCTTCTACTGGTTACCCAATAGTGGGAAAATGCTGTGATGTTTTTTTAACATGATTTCATTGAATCGGACTCTGACCACAATCATATTCGTCGTACTGTGGTGTGGATGTTTGCTACTACCTTAGCCTTAGCTACCAGATAAACCAGGGTGACCTTCAGCTGCGACGGTACACATACTGCCGCACGTCTTGCCGTCCTCCTGCAGCACCTGGCCCTCGGGGCAGACACAGTAGTAAGAGCCCGGGATGCTGACACACTGGTGTTGGCAGCCATGTTCCACAGTGTTGCACAGGTTCTCCACTGAGGAGGAATGCAAACATAGCTGGTTTTACCATATGGCATAGGTAGGCGAGTGCTTGGGGCCTCATCTACCAAGGGGCCTTGTGAACGTGCGTTTACTGTCTTTTTAACTTGACTCCGTTTAAAAATAGGACGCACCCAAAATAAAATGTTTATCACTCTTGAACAACTTCTACTACATTTTTGAACAAGGGCTGATTTAAATCCTGACAGTCACAAAATGTTGATAGAACACAAAGGGATTTCTAAAAGTGTTACATATATGGATAGAAAATACTTCAACTGTTTTGCGCTGCCAAAATGATTTTGTGGTTTCTATCGGCATTATGAAGCATTTTGCTTAGTATAGCGACTGCAAACACAGAGGGTTCAAAGGCAGCACGTTCAGTAACACTTCATAAAAATCTTATGTGAATCGGTATAGCAGCTCGACTCTAAATTTTGGAAAATAATTACAGTGTGTGGATAGTTTCTCTTCTGCCCTACGTATGTGAAATTATTGACGAAAGAATGTTATGGGGGATAAAAGTCACCGGAGCTGCACAAATGCTACATGCCACTGCATAATTAATAGGAATGCACTGTATAAAAACTACTCTGTGTGGTCCATCACTAAGCACAGCTCACTGGGCTTGGTTACATACTGGAATCAGAGACAGTGACATGCTTGTGAGGAGCTAAATTAGATATAGACACAGAGGTGTGATTTTTTTTTGAGAGGAAAGGAAAAGAAAACACAGCACTTTGGGAAAAGTGTCCACTTACCACAAGCAGCATGCAATTCAGTTTGGTTGGAGGTGCTTGGTGCCTGACTCATACACCAACATGTATCTTTCTTTTCATAAGCCAAATAAAGATGGAAGGGCACTCAAAATATACTGTTTCACACTCATGCCAACAACAGCTCTCACATCGTATCTTATATTATTTTGCGGGCACGGATGCCACCCTAACTTTACTGTCAGAAGACCATCTTTCCCTCTGATAAAGATACAAGATGGTTCTGTTCTCTGCCCTGTCGAATACTTACGCTGACAGTCCTTCCCGTTCTCCTGAAGTATGTATCCTTCATCACAGCGGCAAAAATAGCCATTGAGGACACTGACGCACTCGTGTTGACAGCTGTGATTCCCGAAGGAGCAGTAGTTGATCACTGAAGAGAGAAAAGAGATAAATGACAAGTTTAGTAAGAACAGCAATATTTTAATATTTTTCTGTTAGCGCTAACGTTTCACAATAGAATGGAGACCCATAATAGCTACCTCCTGTCTTCTGGACACAGAATCAAATGCTCCATATGTTCCAAGAGATACCACAGATGCCCAAAACCCCAGGTAAGAACAAACCATCCACAAACCCCATATCCAGTATGATTTTTGTGTACATGCATATGGTAAAGTTTAATTGATATATTACGCACAGTAAAACAACCCGACATTAAATTCAGTAATAGTAAAGTACATTGTACAGTATTATACAGTACTTTACAGTACTGTACTCTCTCAAATGAATGGGATTTTGACATTTTAACCTAATTCTCAAGAGACAACAAAGCAATGACAAAATATGTATCAAGGGATCATGGAGCAATGAAAAGCATGCTTCAAATATCCCTCAAAGGATGATGTAACAATGAAAAAACATACTGTCACACATTTTACAATGACAAATATTGTATCATGTGCCTGTACATGGCCTGTAATGACAAAATTTAATTTATTAAAAAATATCTTAGGCTATTGCGGGTACTTACCAGCATACAGCTTGTACACGCTTAGCACAAGGTTTGAAACTTTTTTTCTGGACTACAGTAAACCGCAAAAAACTGAAACCATGGTTTCTGAAACTGCAGCTAAGGGGTTCACACTGTATATTCAAGTCTCAAGTCTCGTTTATTTATATAGCCCTTTCAACCACAACGTAGACCAAAGGACTGTACATAAAAGCAAACAGACACATAACATCAAATAACAAATTCAAGAATTAAAAGCCACAAAATACAAATACGTTTTCACATGAACTTTAAAAACATCGACTGTTGGAGCAGATCTAATATCAGGGGGAAGCACATTCCACAGTCTAGGGCCAACTACTGAGAAAGCTCGATCCCCTTTAGTTTTAAGACGTGTTCTTGGAACAAAGAGCAATAAACAATTAGAAGACCTTTGTGATCTACCAGTGTTCATAAGCACCAAGTCCTTAATATATTCCGGGGCCAAGCCATGGACAGCTTTATAAACATACAACAACACCTTATATTGTATTCGAAATTTTACCGGTAGCCAATGAAGCCGTTCTAAAACTGGTGTAATATGCTCCCTTTTCTTAGTACCAGTAAGTAGTCTCGCGGCAGCATTTTGAACCAACTGCAATTTTGAAATTAGAGACTGACTAAGTCCTACATAAAGAGCATTACAATAATCCAAACGAGAAGAGATAAAAGCATGAATCACTATTTCAAGATCGGCAACAGACAAAAATGATTTCATTTTCGCAATAATCCTCAACTGATAAAAACAATTTTTAACCACATTTTTAACCTGATGGTCAAACATAAGAGCGGAGTCAAAAATGACACCTAAATTTCTTATTTTAGGACGAACCTTTGATTCCCATGTACCTAACAAATCAGTTAAACCAGTGTTATCCTTATTCATCCCAAAAACCATAACTTCCGACTTGCTAGCATTTAACTGCAGGCAATTTTGCTCTAACCAGGTGGTTACCTCCTTTAAACAAGATACCAGTAATAGATTAGGAATTGATCCTCCAGCTATGATCGGTAGATAAATCTGAATGTCATCGGCATATAGGTGATAAGATATCCCATATTTCTTGAAGATTAGGCCTAAAGGCAGCAAGAACAGAGAAAAAAGAATAGGTCCCAAGATTGAGCCTTGCGGTACTCCACAATTCAGAGGAACGGACTTGGATGAATAGTCCCCAACCCTAACTGAAATTGAACGCCCCGTTAAATAGGAGGAGAACCATTTTAAAACCGTCCCTCTCAGCCCCACAGCATGTTCCAAACGATTAATAAGGATATCATGATTAATTAAATCAAAGGCTGCACTGAGATCCAGCAAGATTAGGGCTCCTCTGTTACCTGAGTCTGCAATGAGTAACAAATCATTAGAAACTCGCAATAGAGCTGATTCAGTACTATGTCCTGCCCGAAAACCAGATTGAAAAACATCTAACACTTCGTTTTTAGCCAAAAACGAACTTAACTGAATTAAAACTACCTTTTCCAATATTTTAGAGACAGAAGGCAGTTTCGAAATAGGCCTATAATTTTTAAAATCCAACGGGTCAAGAATAGGCTTTTTAAGTAGGGGCTGAATAACCGCCTGCTTAAAACTTAAAGGGAAAATGCCTATATTAACTTGTTTATAAACTTAAACCCCTCATGGAGTAAATTCCAGAAGGTACCATGGCAGATAACTCATTTCAAAACATATATATGATTGACCTGACAACTGTAAGTGTGCTATTGGCAAAACAGAGTAAACAAAAATGTTATTTTTAATAATTATTTGCATCATTTTTTTGCAAGGCCTTTTCCTGGGTAATGTCATACATATCTGTAGAAATTAGTTGGTGATTGACTTTGAAAGGCAGGTGACATGGCAGCTTTGGCGTTCATTAAAATTTATCAGTGGCACATAAGCTTGAGCAAGTGATTCCAGGCCCACAGTGAGTTGGAAACTGAGTTTGCCCAATTTCACATCACTCACCTTGCTCACATTCCAAGCTGTACGTATCCCCACTTTGGCTCTGTTTAAAAGTGTAGATTTGGCAGCTTGGCTTAACCTAACTAAAGATATGTTGTATATAACCATAATTGTGGAATAATAATTTTCATTGTAATAAATACACTGACCAGGATAAGGGGTTGAAATGGAGCTAGAGAGATGGATGGATGGAAATTACATACTTTTTTCAGGGTATATTATTTCTAATGTATTCAGGAAATAAAATTTTCTTTCTCCACCATATTCAATTTCTGGACTAGTATTTTCTTGAAAGTTGTGCATTACGTGAAAGGGTTCAGTCTATACACACAGACCTTTCCTAATCCGATGAAATGAAAGATTGATTGAATGTTTGTGCGAGAGTGTAATAATGCTGTCAGTTCTGTGGTGGCCACTGACTTGTGCAGGTCCGCTTGTCTCGGTGGAGGTTGTAACCAGTCCTGCAGCTGCATGTGAAGGAGCCAGGGGAGCTGGTGCAGATCTGCTCGCAGTTGTGCTTCCCTTCCGCACAGAGGTCCACCACTGCAACAGACACGGTCTCAGTTCTACAATAACAAATACCACAGTCTTCATTCTTAGCATTTACTGCTCCCCAGTCTTAGTCATATCCAGGTCAGTATCCCTGCAACAAGAGGCCACATCTCTAGAGCACAAATAAGCTGAAGGAGATACATCCTGTCAGATACATTCATATCTTAACATACCATATGTCACATGATGCCATGAAAAATAAGGAATAAAAGAGGTTTCATTATTTTTTTTAAGAGAATTACAGCACTTCTGCATGACACTAGCTATGTACTAGTCCAGGTGATCCAGTTTGGTTTATTTTCAAAATATGGCCAGAATTAGCTCTTCAAGGATTTCTGGATAGTCTGCACGGACTACTGTCCGTCAAGGCAGGATCTCAAAGCCATGAGCGCAAACCGGTGTCTCCCAGTCCGGCCCTCAGGGTCCACAGCCGGTCTATGGTTTTGCTCCCTCCAAGCTCCCTGCCAAACAGTCCACATTTTTGCTTCCTCAAAAATATGAATTCTCTGTGAGTCCCCAACGACCAGATTGGGAAACACTGATGTAGACCATTATTTAACAGCTGAATGTTTCTCCAGAGTGGATCCTGACAGTGAGGTGCACTCAAAGTGTCAATCAGTAGGAGTTTTTTGTACAATTGGCACCAATTCTTAGAAAACTTCTAACTATCTCTGCCCTTTCATTGAATTTTTCCGGTCACTTTAGAACTCTTTCATTCAGCTGACAGAATGGAAAAATGGCCATCAAAAAATATTTCGCTGTTGTTGCAATCTCTTATCAATGCTTTTCTGGAATGAACAGTCAACAACTTGGTGCAATTTACTTCAAAAATTATGTTAATCAGATATACCATTGGCTCTGTTCTGTATCGGAATCAGATTAGTCCCAGAATAGAAAATTAGGAACATTGTTTCCATTCAAAGTTATGTTCATTTTTACTTGAAGCAAGCAGGGTCTAATTGGGGTTTATAGCATTCCAGCACTGTTTTGGCACCAGATTAGAGGCACCATGTCCTCACTTCTAATATAACAGCAATAGGGGCTCATGTGCGTAATGTGCACTTTTTCAAAGAAATCTCCACTTTCACACAGTACAGAATCACTTCCTGCTTCACTGTGATCTTTAAAATGACAGAGCTGCCAGTGAGCATTTGCTTTAAAAACAACATGTCGTCATGTCAGTAAAGTGTGATTGTTTTTCGAAGTCTTATCCAAATATTACATTACCAATGTACTATTGCTTTAAGTTAGACCTGAACTTGTTGGTCAGGCACCTACTTCTGCCAGCAAATGTCCCATAATTCAAAGTGCAAAACACAAATATCAGAATGGTTTTCCATCAGACTTATTTTAATGAGATGCACTGAACACTTTCTCTACTAATCCCTCACTCTAGCAAAGTTAATGGTAGGCCAGGTAACTAAGTAATAACTATTTCTACCACGATTTCAGAAATGAGAATATTTATTTACATGTGTTTTTTTTAATTATCTTTCATTTAGAAAAAAAATAAGTAAAAGAGTAAAAAGTGAAAAACATAAAGGTATGATTCAAATCAGCTGGCTTAACATGACATATTGCACCAAGCCTAATCTCAACTATACAAAAATGCTAAACTTACGCATGTGTGGCCCAGGCCTGTAGTCATAACTAAATTTCAGCAAGGGGCTACCCCATCGATAGGTCCCTTTTGGTAGTTTTCGCTAGATTGTGCCAATCGGGCAGCCAAGACAAATTTTGCCACTTGCCTATGTGCCTGGTGTGACCTAATTATCTCAGGGAATATCTCATGTGACCTCATTTACGAAAAAACACATACATCTTTGGTGAGTCAGCGATACTTAAAGTAGGTCACCTGAGCAGGTCCTGCCGTCGGCATTCAGCCGATACCCAGGGAAACACTTGCAGTGGTAGGATCCTGATGAACTCTCACAAATGTGCTCGCAGCCATGGGTTGGCTCCAGGCAGGGGTCCACCTCTGCAGACACATCAAGGATCAGCCTATGTCACTGAGGGATCTAGAATAACTTCCCTACCCATCCCTGGTGTTCTTGCTACAGCAAAGGGCTGCTTCACTACTCCATGAACGAAGGAGGCTACCTTTATCACACAGCTCTCCCCGGAACTGCTTCCCAAACTGGTGGATGAGGTCGAAGGACTCGACCAGAAACACGTGGCTCTCCAAAGGTGCGGAGGCCATGGCACGTAGGGAGCTCATGTCTGCCCTGGCCACGCCCACGGCGAAGATCTCAATTCCTTTCTGCCTGGCGGCCAAAGCCACCTCGGCCACGCGATCCTGGGGTCTCCCATCCGTCACGATCACCGCGACATCAGGGACATTGGGTCTGGCACCCTCAACAGCCGAGAAGGCCGCAGTCATTGTGTACTGAATGGCCAGACCCGTCATGGTGCCCTGTGCCAGGGGGATGATTTCGTTGATGCTCTTGACCATGTCTTCCACTCTTGAGAAGGTCCTGAGAGAGAAGACATTCTGGACTTGGCTGGAGTATTGAACCACGCCCACCCGTGTGGCATTGGGGCCCACGTCTAGAGTCTGGATGATGTTGATCATGAACTTGCGCATGGTCTCGAATTCATGAGGACGCACACTCCGGGAGCTGTCAATGATGAACACGAGATCCACAGACTTGCACTTTTGGGCTGTATCTGTTGATGTACAATAACATAAAACTTTACTTTGAGACTGTCACATCATTACATTGTAGTTTTGTTAGCAAGCGTTTGTATCATCCTTACAGCTACTTACATGAGTCACAATTGAATAAAAGCTTTAATTGACTACACAATGCAAACGCAGCTGTATGAAAGATACCAACCTGTTTGCGGCCTGGCTTTCGAAGAGGCAGCCAAGCAGAGGAGAGACAGACAGCTCCATAGCAGACTCATGTTTGAACCTTAGCTTGCTGCGTGTAAATGTTTTTGAGTTCCAGACGGCACTGTAAGGGAAACAAGCCTTTCACTGAGGTATCCCCACTGACACACGCATTCCTGAATGGCGTCTTCCATAAAAAATTATCCCTAACAGATGTCAGGAAGGAACTGCATGTAATATATAGCATATTGTTACCTGAAGGCCTGTCCGGCTTTTAAAGCATTTACTTGATGGAAGACAAGTCGTAAACAGCTCATGAACCAACAGTGGTTAGCCAAACACTTTTTAAATATGAAATACTGTATTGTATCAGACCAAAGGATTTTCTGATGAGCTTTTTTTTTAATCACAAACACTCGCTAGGACCAGCTGAAATGGTTTCAGAAGTAGTAGTTTGATTCAGCTATTCACTAATTTACAATGCATGCAATTTATCTTGAAAACAAATATACGGGCCACTTGTGCAGCCAGGATGTTACAAATGGAGAAGTTTGTTCCATGGTGCAAGTGACCAGCCTGGATGTTATGACAGCGATGCTACAATCCTTTGGTATAAATATCACTCGGAGGAGTGAAATTGGATTTAGTCAGAGTATAATTTTATTAATATATAGCTTCCATTAATTATCGTTAGAAGCCCCGGAGATGGAAAGAGCGCTCTCACTGCGCTGCCTTTAAGGGGTGCTACAGTGACTAGCAACTTGCTGACATGGGCCACTGGCCAGAACAGAGAAACTATGAAGGTATCTTTCTGTGGAATTCTGCAGGTTGACCAAGAAACACAGTGGATCATGTCCGTGGACCCCAGTCGTCCACTGCGGAGACGGAGAGCATAACTCAGCGGCTCTTACAGGGGTCCCCTCGCCCCCACCGGCCCGGCATTCACAGCACCGCCTCTTGTGTTGTGTCACAAAGCGTCAGTGTGTCTCTTCCCCACACGGGCGCACCACTGAAAGGGCTCTCTTCCCTGGAGGCCCCCGACTGGAACCTCTACTATTATATATACAACATATCCATTATGTGTAAGAATATGTTAAAACATATACATTCTCTCTCATTCTCGCTTTGGGGCAGCTACTCCAGGAAGGGGAGTAATATAAAATAAATAAAACAACTATATAGCGATTCATGAATTTCTTAATGTTAAGACCAGTTCCAAGTCCCAGTCAAAGCATTAGCAAATCAGGATTTTCCCAGTATTATATGCTTAAATGTTATATTATAATAAGGATGCAACCTACCAGGCTATTTTAGGTAAACGGTCAATTTAAAGTGATCTAAATGAAGGTGTGTGCAGCTCTGAGTCTGTGATTGGAAGGTCACTAGTTCAGATACTGTGCCTGGCAGAGCGATGTCTCAGTTTGGTCCCTGAGCGCGGCCCCTAACCCCTATTGCTCCATCGACACTCAGTGACCCTGTCGCCTCATCCTGACTTATGGAGAGTTTCGGACAAAGGCATCTGCTCAACATATGCAATGAAATAATCACTTGGGATCATTAAATTACAATATATATATACAGATCTTTCATCCTCACAAAATTTTAAAAAATTGGGGAAAAATTACAAAGCACTGTTCCATAAGCAAATTCTTTTTAAACTGGTAATGAGATTCTTTCGAAACAGGATATATTTACACTTATACTGAGCTCTAATTTAGCTCTTTGCCAGAACATATTTTTCTACAGCAATATATCCATCCATCCATCCATCCATTCACTTATCCTGGTTAGGTCATAGGATATATATGGCCTACTAAATATTTACACCACCAATTCAAGTAAAATACACTTAAACCACTATTCTGGAGGCATGACACTATAGGAAAAGGAAGTGTTCAGGTTTACCCCTCCATTCCATGTGTTCAGTTTGCTAATTTACTGAAGCATAGCTTCCTCACGGGCCATAAATCACAGTCAGAATGATCGCATTACCCTTGCAGTAGCAAGTCGTATGTATGTAAGTTCCATGTTTATAGTCGATCATAGAGCTTCATCTGGGGCAAGCTGAGAGCCACCCACGGTCCAACTGTCAGCCACAAGCCCTGGAGGCATATTTTTTTCAGCAGAGGTTAATTGAAAAACTATTTGAAACATATGGCATTCGCCAGCCATTGATAGGTCGATAAAGTCAGAGGCCTGGCCAATCAGTGCTCTTTTCCAGACGTCTAGTTGAACCTTAGTCTCTTAATTCGCTTCCTATATCAGGCTTTATTTGTTCAATACGAAGGCGGCGTGAGAAGCACACGCCTGGGGAACAGGTGACATTCTCGAGAGCAAACAAAGGTCCGGCCGCTTAGAGGACATGCTGTCTCTGGATGCTCAACACATCCGGGCTGGGGGAGAGTCCTGGTGGCAGGGGGTAGCTGGAAAATTACTACACCTTTACATTACCTCCCTCCTCCAGAAACACCCTTAGGTCACAGACAGTATAGGCAAGACCGTGTGGAGCAAGGTGAAGGAATCAATGCCGGAGCTGCCCCATGTCAAAGACAGCTGGGGATCTGAAGAAGAAGAAGGTGAGAAGGATACCATGCTGGGAGGAATTTGAGATCAAGACTAGGGGAAGAGTCTGGACTGTCGACTGAGACATGCAGCACCACAGCGAAGGGGTGGCAGAGGAGGGGCATGGCGGTGAGTCTACGGCTTTGTCTGGAACAAAATCAGGAGTTTCCACTGAAAGGGCAGAAATCAGTGTAGCAGCAGAGAGAAACAGAAAAACAGGAAGAGAGGTAAATAGACGGACGGTTTGGCCAGGCTTGGTGCTCGGAGTCCAGAGCAAACACTGTGTGATGCTTCAACAAGCTTCCTCTTTAAACGTTCGTACGATATGCAAGCCCCTTGGTAGTTCCCATGGGTAAATTATGCACAGTGAAGGTATTCTCTGCTGCTTCATAGAGCACAGTTAGGTTAGGAAGGCAGGAAAAGACGGTTACAGCCGCTGCAGCATGATTGACAGCCCTACAGGAGGCTCTGATTAACACCTAACGGATTGAAAGCAGATGTTGGCTCTGCTACTGTTTGAATGTCTCTGTATTCACCTTCAGACAGCTCAGGAACACCTGGTTACATACCAGACAAAGGCTTATTAACACCTTATTGCTCGAGACCTTCCCACGGAGAAGCAAATCGAGACACAACAGTTTGTGAAATAACTTCAAATTTTCTATTATTATGCAAAAACATTTCATGTTCTTGTGGCGGTGGATCACGAAACCAAATTTACAGACGGTGGCATTTGCAAGGAGGTAGGAAGAAAGCCACTCACAAAACGTAACTACAATTAGTCTGGTTGGCAAACTGGTGTCACAACTGCAAAGGATCACTATGAAACATTTGCTAATTGGATATCACTTTCAGATAAAATACAAACTAAGCAAACTCGTGCGCGTAAGAATTAATACAAACCAATTTGTTAAGAAGCAGCATTGAAGAACTAAAGCACAGGCGACCAACTCAGCATCATATTATCACTGTTACCAATTTCAGTTCTTCTGGAGCATTTGTTCATACAAATGAAGCATCCACCCACTTTCGGCTTTACAGTAGACGATCTCGATGAAAAATTATATAAATAATATAAAATATCCCAATTATTAAATATCAGTAACCAGTTTGTTCACACAACAGCGTAATGTTGACATGCCAATTTGCATTATAAATCATGCATATCTTTCCTAGTTTTATCTAAAGCAGACTGAGAAGAAGGTTCAGTTAAGTTGCAGTTAAATTACAGCTGGTTGTCTTTATGTGTAGCATTTAAACGGCTTAGATGTCGGAAATATTTTTTTACTTCGTCAAGCTTCTACCTGCAAAATTGTGACACCAGTTGTTAAACTTTTCTAAAAGAGCCCTGATATTGGCATCACCTGTGTGAGAGAGCAATTGGAAACGACCGTTTTGCAAATAAATGCTGGAAAAATGTACATAAAAATTTTAAAATGTTTTTATGTAAAATTATATATGTAAATGTATCTAAAATCAATCGCTTGAAGCTATTTCATTACTTCAAATTTAGGTAGGCTAACTGAATAGCTGTATTAATATCGTAATAGCCTAAATCTTAAAAAATAACCCGGAATACGTTTTTTTTTTTTTAATGAATGAATGATTAACTATTTCACCTTTTCTTTTCTTTTTAATTCACGCCCCCAGCGTCTAGGGATACCCGCGATCCCACAGACCTGTACACGGCTGGAGTCGCGCTTACTCACCTGGGCGCAATACGGGGAAGAGCGGAGCCGCAGCTGTTACGGTGGGACAGGTAAATGGGGCACCTCGCGCACAAAAACTCTGCTAAAGTCTCCGCAAAATGTCCGGTGAAGGTCCACTGGCCACCAGCCTTATTGTACTGAAACATAAAATGATGAAGTCTTGTGAATAATAATGATTAAAAAGTCCCAGGTTAACGAATTTTATTTTATCACTAGTCAGATTAAGATGCTCTTTGCTATTGCTCTGCCTAGAGTGGACTGATAACTCGAAGTATGAGCAGGTATAAAGCCTAAGCCAAAAGGGTTAAAAGTTTTGACCCCTCCCCTTTGAAATTCGAGTGGCGGGGTTCTTATTACTTTTAGGGAGGGTAGCTGAGCGCTTGGTTGGGCGGTTTTTTTTTTTTATAGTTTAGATTATAATAGTCCATATTATGCTGGTGCAAAGGTGAGGTACTATGAAATGGGTTGACAAAATGCCATTTTACTGGAAAACCACTACCCCAACGGAACAATGAAAGGCTGCCTAGCATCATTAATATTACTAGGCAAACCTGAACTCCCATTAAGACCTGAAGTCTCTCTTCCATAGCACACTTTTACACAGTTCATATCAAATAATTGTTTTCATTTGCGGGAGATCTTCAGGCCTTGACATAGAGCGACAGTGGAGACAGTGGCTCTCACACGGCACGGTGTGAAATGCCAGTGTGTCTGTGCGCGTGACATCATGACCTCAGGGTAAAACCCCATTTGCCGAGTCCACCGCACAGAGGTGAAGCCATGTAAACGAGGCCGGCAACATTTATAACTCTGCAAATCTCAACATCAAATATAACGTCACCAGGACGGAGTCATTATTCCTAAAAATGCCTTCAAAAGTCATATAACAGTCTAAGAAGCAGTACTCACGTTTTTACCGTGTATTTGATCACCCACAACTGATTTTGGTCCAGTGACTACCACCTTTTTAACTGAAGGTCTACTAACATGATATAAAGGCTTCAATGTGCATGCAGAATTTCCCACTACAGTTTCAGCTCCCAAGCATTCTAGCTTAGCCTATTGCAGGGGCAATTAAAGACCAACATGTCTAAAACAGGGCTCCCTTTGCGATATTTGTATTCTTCTTGTTGCCTTTGCTTCCTCAGCAATTCTTATTGGTGGAAATGTTCTGCATTCTACACCTTATGAGGCACATTCCTTGGCCCAGCCTTGGTGGTCAATAAAACAGGAGTTTCTCCTAGTGTTTAATGAGCGCAGCGTGAAACCCTATGCCTCCCACAACTGAAATCTTTTGGACGAAAACTTCGGTGTGGTCTAAAAAGCGTCAGATGAAAGGATGGCAGGTTTTTGCATAATTGATCAGCCGTCAGATTAAACCTGTCCCACTGCCTGATTTATTGATGTAAAATGAAATAGAAAAATACATAATTTACTAATAACATGAAATTTAAGAATCTCCAGTGTTTCATAAAGGCGGAATATTTTTCCAGCGGTCTGCAAGAATGAAATGTATGAGGCTGGCATTGAGTGTTGACTCTTGGCCACCAGAAGCAAAGCATCCCATAAGCATACAATGACAACCTGATGAGATACAGGCATCCTCTGTTGCCCTTTAATGAAATGCCATTCTCACTTTCACAGGTATTAATTACCCAGGAAGAATACGTGTGACTTCCATAAAGCCATGTTACATCTTTGCAGTTGACTCAGTAGGCGACTCTCAACGGCCTTGAACAAGCCAGCAGGCCACATTTGCCGAGGTTCATATCTCTATTAACATCTCTACTTCCATCAGTTGGCTAAATATTATACTGTATCAGAGCTGATCGCTTAGGGCAATGTGGTAGCCAGGTTATATGGGAAAAGAACAGACTTACACAGACTTAACAGACTTATTTGCGATAAATTTGAAAGCAAATATTTTTCCTCTGATCACCATATCTGTGGTTCCATTAACATACATGCATTCCATTAAAATTAGTAGCAAAGGGGAAACCAGAAGCAGTAGCCAGTTTGCTACTAGGTACTTCACAGATGCCAGTGGGATGGGGGAATTTGTTTAATAACAGAACAGAACAGAACAGAATTGAATTGAATTGAATACAATAGAATAGAATAGAATAGAATAGAATGTATTACCACATAACCAGGTTGGTGAAAATAATATGGTTCAATTCTGACATGGCATTAGTTGGGATGTGCTACATTCCTTGCCACGTCTTAATGTAATTACTAATAACTAATAAAAATAATAATTGTTCATCCAGGGCTCTGGTCATTTGTAATCAGATATGGCAGCATTAATAGTTTTCCCCTTGGATGAATAAAGGTTACATAACCTTTAAAAGCATTAAAATGCCGTCTGCTCTCCCCTGGGATAAATGATTTTACTGTAAAAATCAAAGATAAATCAAACCAATCCCATAATGCCAGTAATAGTAATTGATTTAATATTATTTTAATATTTGTGTATTTAACCAGGGGCAACAATTCCCAAAGATAAACATACATAAAGCAACTTTATTCAAGTCATGATTTGTGTAGCTGGATTTTTGGGTGGGATTTTCATTCTTTATAAAAGACTAAATAATGTGTGTAGCGCTTATATATTCCATACTTCTTGTTTCAAATTGGAAAACTGATTACGTTTCTATATTACAACTCTCTCTTCCTTCCTTTTAACAAGAGGGTTTGTGGGTGTTTCATAATTTAGTTTTGAACCATGTCTGTACTACAGAGAAAGACGGCAGAAAGCCTTGTGGAACACCGTTGGCTTTGCGGAGAGGAGTGCGGAGGCGTGATTGTTTGAAGCTGTTTCTTTGGAAGTGTTTGCTGTTTAATCCTCGGCCTAAATGCTGGGCAGTCTGATCAGAATTGCCACCACATTTGTCCCGCATCGGTTCTGAATCACGCATTTCAGGCTGGGGAAGTATTTTAGGTTAATTTTTTGTTGTTTATGCTGCATGGTTTATTTGCAAAAAAACATTTTTATTGGTCGCAGACTTGGGAACATATGGTTTATGTCAGGAATTCAAGGTGACAGCTGAAACATTTGAGGAACTGAAACCATGCTAATGAAGTTGTCCATTTTCATGACTTGTTTGAATTCTGCATTATTTTGGGGTAAAAAATACATAAAGGAAAAAAATTCAAAGAAAATGTGGAGTGGAACATTTTTGAAAACATGCCACATTGTTTTTACTGAACTATATAAATCAAAGTTGGAGTTTTGGTTGTTTGATTTTCAAACATGAAAATGATGGGTTTAGTTCAAGTTTTTTCTCTTTAAGTAAACCAGGTCAGAGCTTATCCCAGCAGCCTGGGGTGACCCAGGATACAGGACAGCAGTACCTTCAGTTCCACCCAGACCAATCAGTTCTCATCCTGCACGCCAAGGTAGCGCAGAAGTCATATGGCAACGAGAAAAGGTGAGCTCAGATATTTCGGCCAGAAATTCAAGGGCCTGTGTTTGTGATGTAACCGCTGATTTTATGTCTCTCAGATTCCTGTGCCCCCCTCCATGCGTGTTCCTCAGTGGGCCGGGATGGAAACTCAAACAAGAGCATCTGAAAGGTACTGCCAAGTCAAAATCACTAACGTTAACATCACTAACTAGTGTTATCAATTGTTAATCTAAACTTTAGTTCAGAAAGACAGACAACCCCCTTGTTCAGGTGGCGTAGCAGAAGATACAAGTAACTAAGTTATATTTTACCTCATTTTACTCAGTTTTCCAACTTAAGAATTGCATCGTGTTGAAGAAACACCTGTTTGTTGCTCTGTTACTAATGTTGGACGCATTGACTTCTCTCTTTGCATGAAAGTGCCCTTTAAATATTAATTCCATATACATGTAGACTCAGTATTTTATGCATTTAAACGATGGACAATTATTAATTGTGATAATTACAGTTTTTCTCATTCTCATGTAGTCAATGGCTTAGCGGACTTTAGCTGTCGGCTCTGCGGCTACATGGGTCTTGACAACCCTGGAAGTGCCCAGATGGACAGCTTTAAACTGGCCTTTGAGGAACAAGCTGATGCAAAGGTAGGGAAGAAACTGTCACGTTCACTCGGGCACGGAGCAGCAGCCAGAGCCCAGAACTCGGGTAAACGAGGGATTTATTGTAGAAAAACACCAGGAACACGCGAGGCAAGGCACAATACAGGACCACTGACTTCAATGACCTGGGGAAAATATATCTAACGCAGACTTAAATACATAAGACTAATGACAGCAACAAGAAACAGCTGATAAACTCCGGGAATCCACACGGGGTTAACGAGGGGGCGTGGCACACGGAAGGAGCGACGAGCGGGGCATGACAGAAATATTCACCCTCCAACTCTAAAAATGAGGTCATGACCTCCATGAGTCATTAGTTGCCACTTAGTTTGGCCATCATCTCAAGTCAATTCAAGTCAACTCAAACTTTATTGTCATTTTAAAATATGCAGACATACAGTGAAACCTGAAAAAAAGCTTTACACATAATATGACAATGTAAACATAAAGATAACAATGCATAAATTAATAAATATGCTGTACATCAACTGCAATGATGAGAAAGAGTGGATGAAATTCTTCTTCTTGCAGAAGTTTGCCTGTGCAAAGGCGCTGTACATTTCTGACGCAGACAAGCGAAAGCACTTCCGACTGGTAGTGAAGCTTTTTTTTAGCAGTGGACACGAAGTCGGCTCCTTCTACAGCAAGCTGATCAAAGTGATTTCCAAGCCGTCTCAGAAGAAGCAGTCGATGAAGAATGCAGACCGTGAGTCAAGGCCGCCGTTGACCATCATGGCCTTTGGTCACTGCCGCCATGGCGATGACCCCACAGAACACATTCCACATGACCTGCTGGTCCAGGAGTAGACGAGAAATCTACTTTCCTGACATTTGTTGCCCTGTCCCAGGCTGGGAACGAACAAGCAGATGTCAGCTGAGATCACAGAGTGCCATGACGTTGAATTTCTCAAGCTATTGCTAGAGAGGATACAATGCAACACGCAGCGTGTGAAAATCATGTCCCGGTTAAAGGATAGAAGGCACCCATAAATTCCTCACCCTGTACTACTCATTTACTTTAAGCTTGTGTATGTCTTTGCAGTGTGCATTCTGTCAGGATCCAAGGTGTCGCTCTTTAACCGCTTGCGATCTCAGACCGTTAGCACACGCTACCTGGCTGTGGAAGGAGGTGCATTTGTGGCCAGTGCCAGGCAGTGGGCAGCCTTCACCATTACTCTCGGTGAGTTACTCTCCTCCAGTGGTCCACTTAGCCAGTGTTGGTGCCAGAGCTGACAACTGGGGGAACTGGCCACGGTAAGAATTGTTGATCTGGTAGGTGGGCAAACGATTTGTGCCCAACTGTACCCTACCCACGATCGCTAGCTAACAGGCTAGTCTTTAGCAGCCGTAACGACCTGCTCTGAGTGTCATTGCTTTCGCTTCTACAGTGGAGCGGCAGCAGACGGAGAAGGGGGAGTTTTCGCCGCGGGAAGGCTACGTCTATTATGGCTGCGTAGTCCAACTCATCTGCACCGTCACCGGGGTAGCTCTACCCCCCATGGTAAAGACCTCGCAATGTAGACCTGCCAGCTCAAGGCTTTTTTATTGCAATCACACGATCGTGTGACTTTACTTAAATAACGGTGATCGACTTAACAATCTCCATGCTGAAATTATAAAGTATAAAATATATAAGTTGCTAAAGCCTGTGATGGGTTGGCACAATGTTCCGGGTTATTCCCTGCCTTGCACCATAGCTTCTGGGATAGGCTCCAGAACCCCACAACCCTGCCTAGGACAAGCAGGTATAGAAAATGGACGGATGGATGGATGGATGGATAAGTAGCTAAAGCAATACCATTCTGGACTAATTGATTTAACTGAAGTTTTTAAATTAAATTAATATCAAATTTACATAATTACAAAGTTATTTTCTAACTTTTTAGATTGAAGTATTTTAATTAAAATTACAGCTATTATTGGTTTTTGCAACCATCATGAAACAAGAACATGAAGAAAATGAAATTTCATTTTAAGAAATATATGAATGAATGTATATGCCTACAAAGAATAAATATGGAAACCGTACTCTGTAAAGTGCAGACTGAAAAGTCTTCGATAGCTTGCTTACTAAGCATTAATAAAATGTGGGCATTTGGGGGCAAAAGTGTGCATTCAGTGTAGGGTAATATGTGTGGTTTTCTTTAGTTTGAGGACTGCTGACTGACTAGGTTCTGTGGATGGCCAAAGATTTCTGCGCTTCCAGCTGTGTGTTTCCTCTGTTTATATATCCTTTGGGCAGCTTCGTGGTGGTTTTTGGGGGGAAGAAGAGCTCTTTGTTGCCCCTCTGCTCAGGGCTGCGGTGTGGCGTATCTGCATGGCTGTCTCTGTTAAGCTACAATGCTGCTGACTGGTTCCACACTAGTTGATGCCAGTGATTGGGAGGTGCTGACTTTCCACCATCAGATAAGCTGTATTAGAGATCTGTGTTAATTCTTGCCACAGAATCTCTACAAGTCAGCGGATTGAACTAAAGACTGAAACGGGCTGCTGTTTTGGTGCGCAGAACTTCTCAAATAACATTGGCTATTAGTTGCTAGACTCACTGAGCTGTGACATTCAGTTTGGGAGTAGTGTAGATGTTAATTTCCAAAATGATTTGAAGAATCAGGGTGTGATTTATTCATTGTCGTTCTTCCTCCTGTAGGTGATTCGAAAGGTGAACAAGCAACATGCCATTCTGGATGTGGAGGAGCCTGTCTCCCAACTCCACAAATGTGCTTTCCAGTTCAAGGAGAGCAAAATGTACCTGTGTCTCTCCAATGAAAAAATCATACAGTTCCAGGTTAGTATCACAGGAACTTTTTGAACTGCATTATCAAACCTTGCATGATGGTATTTAAGAAATGCCGGTGCTATGTAGATAGATGAAAGAAGATAAAAGATAAGATAAGATAAGATAAGATAAGATAAGATAAGATAAGATTTTGATCCCTAGGGGGAAATTCCATGTGTTTATTTTTTACTTGGAAAACAGAATCAGTTTCTAGAGAAAACTACAGTATATTTCTACAGCAATATGTGTGTCAGGAAATGGCTCAGTTTTCATATTTATTGTGGTCCTCCAAGGCGTTGCCGTGCTCTAAGGAACCTGGCCGAGAGCTTCTGAACGACGGCTCGTGCTGGACCATCATTGGCACGGAGATGGTGGAGTACACCTTCAGCGAGAGCCAGGCCTCCCTGCAGAGCTCCGTCACCCCCATCCCCATCATCAGCGCTCTGGAGGTGAGCTTCTCCTCCAGCTTGGACCATTCACACCATAAAACGGCCAGGCGCCCATTTGCTCTCCAGCTAACTTGACACCTGGTTCTTCAGCTGAACGGTGGCGGACATGTGGCCATGTTAGAGATACACGGGGAGAATTTTGGCCCACATCTGAAGGTCTGGTTTGGAAATGTGGAAGCGGAAACAATGTTCAGGTGAATACAGAGTCATTATGAATATTAATCCTGTGCAAAGATGCTCCATTTCATCTTAATTTTTTAAGTTTCAGTTGTATTGATTTTTTAAGCTATGTTCACGTGTTAACTTTAATTTAACTTGCTAACAAACCAGAGAGAAACAGAGCAAATATCTTCTCTACTTCTTTTGCATTGTATATCTATATCCTTAGGAATCCCTAGAATGCAAGTGGAAAAATATACAGTTCCAGCATGGAAAGCCCTATAATCCACGGGTCGTTGTCTTTTAAATGATCTTTTAAACCCTGTAAACACTCGTCTTACAGGCACCCCAGCCGAAGGTTTTCACTAGGATTCACAATGCAGTGAAATGCAGTAATGAGCTGCAACATATCAGCCACACTTTTATATTATTTACTTATCTGAGGCTCTTATCCAAAATGAGGTCTGTGGTCATTGTTCCAAAATATGATTGTAAACAACAGTGCACATCACAGACAGTATTAAGGCCATTAAATCCTGACCATAAAGCAAACAGTCACACTGCACTGACTGCAGTTATGCACTACAGAGTTGAGAAAACAAGTTTTTTGAAAGGTTAATAGACAGCAATACATTTCGTGCTCTTTTTGGATACATCAAGTAGAAATCCTCTGTATTAATATGTGATTCCAGGACTCCCAAGTCGATGCTGTGTGTTGTACCAGACGTGTCAGTGTTCAGTGGGGAGTGGAAATGGCTGCGGCACCCAATCACCGTCCCCCTGTCCTTAATCCGCTCAGATGGTTTGATCTACAGGAGCACCTTCACCTTCACCTACACCCCAGAGCACAGCCCCCCCGCCAAGCCCAAGGTGCCTCTTGAGCACAACACAGACTCTGACAGCCTCATACACTCCATTCACCAGGAGTTCACACGCACCAATTTCCACCTCTTCATGCAGAATTAGCCTAGAGGCAGGGGCAGCCTTAGGAGCTACAGAAGAAATCCAATAATCCAGCAATTCAACTGTCCAACAGTCGGGTGAAAAAAGCAACTCCAGGCCAGATGTCCAACAGTCCAATTGCTCAGCTGTCCAACAGGCTAGCTGTTCCAACAACTCAACAGACCAGCTGTCCAACAGCCCAGTAGCCTAGATTTCCAACAGACCAGCAGTCCAGTGATAAAGCAACTCAGATGAGTCAGCCATCAGATTGCCCAGCTGTCCAACAGTCCGATAGTCCAACAGGTCAGCTGTTCAATAGCGCAGATGTCCAGTGATAAAGCAGCTCAAGTAGTGCAACTGTCTAGCAGCCTAGTAATCCAGAAGTCCAACAGTCCAAAAGTTCAGATATCCAACAGTCCAATAGTCAAACAGTGCAATAGTCCAACAGACCAGCTGTCCAACAGCCTAGTAATCTATAAATCCAACAATCTAATATAGTAAATATAGTAAAATAGTAAAGTGTGGCAATCACAGGTAATCACAGTAGGCTTCATCTGTATTCTTATCAGCACATGATTTTTAATGTTTTTCTTTCAATAGTAAAATGATATTTGATTTATTGTATAAGTAGTTCATATATACATTTGCTTATTCTGTCATTGAATTGTTGTTAACATTTCTGTGTATTTGGGCTGGTGAGAAACTCCTTGTTCAGAAAATGGTGATGTTCTGTGACTTTTTATGGATGTGAAAGCTGGACAATGAAGAAGGAGGACAGGAAGAGCACGGATGCCTTTGAACTTTGGTGCTGGCTGAGACTATTAAGAAAACAGTGAAATGCAAGATGAAAAAAACAAGTGGACTCCTGATCAAATCAAGCCTGGACTTTCATAAGAAGCACAGATGGCCTGATTGGACCGTATCTTATTTTGGTCATGTTATGCAAGGACCTAGCACATGGGAAAAGACCAAAATGGCTGCAAATGTTGAACGTAAAAGAGTAAGACCAGCAAAAAGTTGGATGAACTTCATCCATCTGTTTTCAGTACCCACTTTTCCTATTCAGGGTCATGGAGGTCCAGAGCCTATGGGCACAATGCAGGGAATAACTCAGGATGAGGCACCCACCCAATGAGGCACCCACCCAGACTCAACCCAGGCCTTATAGGTGGGAAGGAACGGCGCTAACCACTGCGCCATCATACTGCTCTTGGGTGAACTCCACCTTCATAACAATGAGCATTGTTCAGGAAGCCTGAAGACCCGGACAGAAGATAGAAAGTTCTAGAAGATGATTACCATCTGCTATATATTAATATCAGGGATCAACTTAAATGCCACCTATTGATAATAAAAAAAACTCTAATTCCTCCTGGATCAAAATGGGAAACACAATTATTACACAGTTGTAATTGTGCTATATTGTAATAGTTATATTTATTTTCAGATTCAAATTGTGCTTTTTTGTTCTTTTATATAAGAGCAGGGTTAGAAAATAAATCATAAATCAGGGAATTTTGGGAGTTTTTAAATTGCTGCCATGGAAGGATTTCACGACAATCCCGGTGTAAAATGTTTCCTGTGGATGTTGGGGGCTCAGCATAAAGTGTGTACCAGAATGGCAATTCATATCAGTCTTAAACTGGGAATGTGATTATATTATGGCAGCGTGATTGTATGTTGCCAAGGTGACTGGTCAATGTGAATATAATCATGTGCTGCGAATGTAATGTTTATTACAAATGTAATTACAGTAATTACACCTCAAATGCGATCGCACACTTTGAAGGAGATTGCTCATTGTGAATGTAATCACACATTGTGAGTATGACTTCATATCGTGAATGTGATTGTACCTAATGATTGCATATGTGACAAATAAAAGTTGAAAGAAATGCAAAAGATGCAATGATAATTACTGGATTACAATCATTACTGGAAACACAATCAATTAAAATACTACACAGATGATATATTAAATTTGATTAGTTACTATAATTTTGGAGGTGAGGAGTAATTTGAGGAGTAATTGATCTGTTGTTCCCATTCCATGTATTCCTACAATGCTGGGAGGAAATTTCAACCACAAATCAGTCTTTCAACCAGAATAATCACAGACAGCCACAAAACACAAAGTTTGTACGCTCAAGTTGGGGGGCGGGCAGTAAATTAGAGCAGCTGAAGAGGAATATTTGAAAATATGAATTCATTCTTTCCATGGCAAATGGCATGAGATTTTTTTCTAAAGAAAGAGTTTAATTAGCCTAGGTAATAAAATAATATTTAATTCTAGAACTAAGCGGTAGAACTTTTGTACATATTCCAATCATTCTAGTACAATTATTGGTAACACTTGAAGCTGTCATCTATAAGATATAGATACCTTCATAAGGAGTTATAATGGTCAGTATAATAACTGATAAAGCAATACTGCATCTTCTGTTGGCAGTCATGAGGCATTATTATGTTGATTATTATACTTTATATGCTCCAGTGAAGCTCTCATTTATAATGCATTATAGATACCTTCATAATGCATTATAATGATCAGTATAAGAATTATGAATGCTTTGTACTACATTTTGAAGGTATCTATAGTGCATTATAGGTGAGAGCTTCATATAGCATTCACAATGCATAATAAACATGGCTATGATGTATGCTTTTGTATAAATATTTATAGCCATGTTTATAATGCTTAATGAGCGCCATTATAATCATATATGATTCTCATAGACAGGGCATTTACAGAATGTGTTACCCAGTTATTTCAATTCCAGTTTCCAGTGTCACATTATTTTAGCCACAAAAGACCTGTAACAATGTGAGAGCTGAACAAATACAGTGGTACTTCGGTTCTCGAACTCACTAGAACTCGAATTTCTTGAAAGGTGAACAAACCAGTTTGACCTAGAACTCGATCTGAATATCAGAAGTCGAACCGTGAACGCTGACCTAAAATAAATTGTACGCGCCAGGAAATGAGTCATATTACAATGCAATTCTTACTTGAATGCCTTCTTCACAAGCTGGACGATTAACCAAATAAAGCAGTGCAACATTACAGTAACTAACAATAAATAAACCACTAACTTACGTGTACTATTAGAGCAATTATGTGATTTATTCAAACTTTATTTTACCAGGTAAAATAGCCTAACTGAAAACCAGTTCTCACTGCTTTACGTGATATTCGTGAGAAATAGCAGATTACACATCGGAAGTTCGGAACTGCCTGGGATACAAACGTCATGCGTGTAGCTAAACTCTTCAGCCAATAAGGGCAAAGATGTGTCGTCACGGAGGCGTTTCCAGTTTGTGCAGCCGGGTGAGAGGTCGCAATGCATCTAACCGTAATGCATTGCGTCAGGATCAGAATGCGTTGCTTTAAGCCAGCGCTGTAAGCAAATCGAAGGCACCCAGTGACCGAACTGCGGAAACAAACTGAAATGCATTCTTAATACAAAGGACTAATGACAACAACCAGAAACAGCTGATCACATGGGGATCCCACACGAGGTTAACGAGGGGGCGTGGCACACGGAAGGAGCGGACGATCGGGGCAGGACAGGGGTAATGTTGGGATAAGATCTTTATCATTTTGGAAGCCATTAAGAAAAAAAATGCTCTTCTTGTTTTATCCTGTTCATTTTGTGTTTAAATGCTAATATATATATGTGTGTGTGTAATTTTGGGGGGCCAAGAACCAATTAATTGGTTTTCCATTATTTCTTATGGGAAAAATTCGATCAGAACTCGAACTTTTTAGGATTCGATCCGGAGTCCGGAACGGATTAAGTTCGAGAACCGAAGTACCACTGTACAAGTAAAGTCTACAAAAACATTTACATACATATTTACATTACTCTTTTGTACTAAAAGATTAGGTACTTAATACAAGTCATTTCAACATCCTCACTTTTATACAGAGGATCTTTTGACAAATGAACAGGAAAAAATCCCATCGGAAGCCAAAAAAGGAACAATAACATAGACTTACTGCATTTAATGCGTCTTTCAAAATATTCTGTTAACATTATACTATCTGAGGTATCATGACTCACTGTAAAAGGGTACATGACACATCTTTAAAAGCATAATTTATTTACTCCTTGTTTGTTTTGAAGTGAGATGTCTCTTCAGCTATGGACTGCTGCCTATGAATTTGATTAAACATTTTTTTTTAAATTCCACACCACGGTTTATCATTCCGCAGTTTATTAAATGAGGCTAAATGGAGTCAGAGGAGTCTGAGATGGAGTGTCCTGGTGCCGTGCAGCTGTTCTGTCAGGCTCAAAGCTTAGACAGATAGTTATCATTAGGCCTGAGCAGATCATCATGCTGGCAAACAATAACAAAGGGCCTTTGTGCTACAGACTCTCTGCGCAATGAGCACTAGGATCCAAATACGCAAAGCTGACAAATCTTGTTTTGTAAAAGAGCCCTAGAAAGGTAGCACATCCAGCTCTCTGGCGGGGCTCAGTTATACTGTAGTAGGAAAACAACAGCAGAAAGTAGTTTGTAGAAGAAATGTTGTATCTTTATCCCAAAAAAAAGCTATCTCAAATTTTTGCGTTTTCAAAGCCGGAATATTTATGACATTTTTTAAATATATGCAGCAAATTTCATGCACATTTTATCTTAAAAACATAAATAAAATGACACAATAACAATTAATACCGTGGAAATAAATCTTTAAGAACATAGCTAGCTTATAAAACTGTCTGGATTAGCACTTTACAGTATCAAACTAATAAAAATATAGAAACAAATACAGACTATCGTTACTGTTCTGGTGTTGAATGACATCATCGTTGAGGACACTTGTTGGACAGGCTGCTTAAAGACAACGATAAGTTGTGTGCTCTGCATCCAAAACAAAACCGGGAGTGTGGACTGAAGCTTGGCACTCGCGACGCCTAGTTCTGGTGTTCTCCTGCTCCCTGTGGGCCTGTGGGCTCCTTCACGGGGAATAAAGAACACACTGTCCTAAAAGACCACGTCTACCGCCATTGATTTATCCACACATTTCATCGCCCTCGCATCAAACCAAAAAATTGCTGTCTGGTTGAATGCCGGACAACTGACCGTCGACATGGAGACATTCTGTACTTAAAAGGAGCTGTTTGACAAACATCGAGAAAATAAGTCTGGGAAAATATTCAAAACATGCACGTTTTGCTTCTTATGAGCAAGACACACTAAGCTGTGTCGTGGGTTGTGCTTGGCAGCAGTTTAGAGTGATACATTTTTTTAAAAGGATCAAGCAATTATATGTAACCTGCCATGACTTCAACTTCAGGCTGTTCAATCCTGTTGAAAATGTTCACAGTTTCTTACTTTTTCATGAAGTTTGTAATTTGCAAAATGTTCTTTACCTACGTACTTAAATACCTTAAAAATAAAGAATAAAATTATAATCAGGTCAGAGAAAGCCAGCCTACGAATTTTAATCAAATAACAAAAAATGTTCACAGTTGCTTTTTGGACATAATGCCTCTTGTAATGAGGGGAACCAGCATTTTACTGAAAATCTATTCATTTAGATTATCAGGCGATATTATTTGTGTGCAAACTTGTTTTTCATGTGCATAATATGACCTTATTACTATC